CAATTCATCAACTTAGAATATTATACCTTTGATTTTCTCTACTCTACATTAGAAGACTATATTCTATATTAGAAGACATTTTTCTGGAAAAATGTACATCAACCCAGGAGGATTTTTTTTAAAAAAACTTAATTCCTGGTAACTTGTATAAAAGATAAATGAATAATCTGTGGTCTCAGTAAAAGAAAAGTCATTTTGTAGGCACTACCTACCATAATTGAGACATACTAATACTGGAACTGTATTTCTGGTCCTTTGTGCTTCTGCATAAGCTCTAACTATCACTACAAGTTAACAGCTATGGACCATCATAAGCAGTCTTCCTTAATTGCTTTTTAGAAGAAAGATTTACTTATTTATATGTTTCAGGGCTTGTCTGCATGTATGTGTATCATATGGGTGTAATGTCTGTGGAGACTGAAAGACGGTATAAGGTCCCATGGGACTGGAGCTACACATGGTTGTGAGCTTCCTTCTGGATTTCGGGAATTGAACCTAGGTCCTCCAAAAGCAGATGTGCTCTTAGCCTCTGAGCAAGCTCTCTGGCCCTTCCTTAATTGCTTTAATTGCTTAAAGCTTATTGCTCATGCATTGACATTTGTGCGTGGCTCCTCTGTTCTTGTCTGGGGTAGGCAGGGTGACTCCTGGCTGTATCTGTTTGTGAGGTAGGTGTTGACTGAGTGATAGGCACTGGGTACAGCCTGGGCTGAGATGACAGGTAGAAGTCACACCTTGAATCTTGCCCTGGGTCCTGCTCACCTGAGAATGTCCTTTTCACTGCATTGGCAGAGGGGAGGAGGAGCACAGGCCCTTTGAAGCTCACTTTTATCATGGATACTAGTATTCCACGGACCAATGAATTTCCCATTGTAGAGTCCAGAGTAAGAACGAGAAGGGGATCCTAAAGATTTAGGACAAAAGTCATGGCTACAGGAACGGGATAAGAGTGAGACAATATTTGTAATAGATCACACAGTTGTACAAGTGAAATATAATGAAAATTTCTAGTCCAGGGGAAAAGGATGATTTCTCTCTCTCTCCCTTTCTCTCTCTCTCTCTCTCTCTCTCTCTCTCTCTCTCTCTCTCTCTCTCTCTCTCTTTTGTTGTTGTTTGTAGGCTTATTTGTTTATTTGCTTGTTTTTCTGATTTCCTTGCTGAAGCACCTTTTGTGTGTGGTGGGAGGTAGGAGGGCAGGGCGGGGAGAGACAGAGAGAGAGAGAGAGACAGAGAGATTGAGAGACAGAGACTGACTCATGTTGCTTTGGCTAGCCTGGAACTCAGACCTTGCTGTCCTCATAGAGATTCACCTGCCTCTCTCTCCTGTGTACATGGATTAAAGGAATGTGCCTTGATGCCTGACTTGTCTGTTTTTTACTGTACATTCATACAAAGTAGGAGAAGTAATACCTTGAGGGGCATATCACACGAGCTGGGTAATTTCAGAACTACTTAGCCTTTCTGTAAATGATACTTCATACACAGACACAGACACACACACACACACACACACACACACACACACACACCACATAAGCTGGGTAATTTCAGAAGTACTCAGCCTTTCTATAAAGGACGCTTGGCACATGTGCACTCAGGCATGCTCGCACTGCCTTATCCACATTTCTCCACCCAGGTGAGTGCTACCCTCAAAAATTGCAGTACAGAGATCTCAACCCCACATCACTGCTGTGTGTCCCGCATCACGCTCCCTCTACATCATTCCCTCCACGGCTCCTGACCCAGCAGTCCTGACATACACCATGCGCACTTTCAGTAAGTGATTTTGGAAATTGTATGCTGTCAGAATTCTCTGAGAAACGGTTCTCATTTCCACTTTTCTTTTTAGCTGTGCTCGTCACATGTACTTGAAGCAGAAGTTAAGAATCTCCACAGTCTCACGTACACACACCTATTTTACTCAGTTTTCTGTACTCTTCCTCTCAGAAAGGGAAGTTTTAAATGTAATGGCTACATTAAATTAGCTTGACTTTTGTAGATTAGCCCAACTGGGAAGGGGAAGCTGCTGGAGAGGTCACTGTGACACCAGAAGTCTGAGACAATGAAGCAGGCTGTGAGGATTTTGTTGGAAATGGGGCTAAAGCTTTAGGAGAAGATATTCTTTCTGGCAGGCATCTGATCCCCTTTGCTCATCAAAGTGATTGTGTCAGACTCAGGTCAGGGCATAGGAGGATGGGAAGAAATTCTCTTAATTGTAAACTGGCTGCTTGGTGATGGAATCATGGCTGGTGTAATTTTTAATAAATTGCTGCTCTTAAAAGTTACACTTGCTGTACTAGTAGATAGCTAGAAGTTAGGCATGTTCACCTATTCATGGGTCTTTACATAGACAAAGACCATTTAAAGGTGTCCTATACTAAAGGACTGCAGGGGATAGTCACAGCTTCACAGACTTTTACCAGCTCCTTAACAATGTTTTTACTTTTTCATATTTGGCTATTCTTCATATTCTTTATACACTGAATGATTTTCCTTCCTCTCCTCTGATTCCCCCCACCCTCCTATTTGTCCTTTAACTTAGATGCCAGACTTAGTTCTGAGAATAGTGTTTGTAAAGAGTATTTGCGTAAGACCTTAGATGGTACATTCCAAAATGTACATGTTCACATGTGTTTCTGTTACAAGACCTCTCACTCTGCTTGGTCAAGGCCATTGGGAGTTAAGATAAAATCTCTACCCCAGCAACTGTGGTCTTTTTGGTAGGTGCATCTCATACTTTGTTTGGACAGTCCCCCCTCTTCTGTGGTTCTGTCCTGTGGTTGTAAGCTTAGTGTGTGCACATATGTAAGATTTAAAGTGCAAACAGAACAGAGCAGAGACATATTTGTGCACTTGCTATCTGGACCCTTGTGTGCATGCCAAGGTAATGCTGAGGAGTAAAATGGAGATGCTTCGTGGTTCTGAGGAAATGGGTTGGAGTGAGCAGATCAATTGGATGGGCATTTCAGTCTATCCTATCCTGGTCTCATAATGGGCAGCGTTGCCTAAGTTCCTTTTATCTAGAAATAAAATTATAAGACACATAGAGACACTTTCAAAATGTCAGGAAACAGTGAGGCCATTTAGATGAAAAAATGAAAATGTATCACACCTCAAGAAGTGTTCCCTGCAGGCATCCTTGTCCCAGGCCAAAGGGCGAGTTGAAGTGAAGTGAAGAGGCAGAGATTTGCTCTGAATGCAGAGAGGAAGGTGGTGAAGGAGATGCTTGAGCAGAATATTTCTGGGAGGAGACAGGAACCTCTGGGCTCAAAGAGAAGTTAAGTTCTTTGGTTTTCAGCTCTTGGGAGGTATGAGGCATTGTGTGCTTCTCCACAGAGCAGGGACTACATGTGGGGTACTCCTTACGTCTGTCTGTCTATTTATTTAGACAGTCTCTATGTAGTCCTGGCTGTTCTGTAACTCACTGTGTAGACCAGGCTGTCCTCAAAAGTCACAGATCTACCTGCCTCTACTGCTTGTTGAGTGCTGGGATTAAAGGTGTGTGTCACATGACCAGCATTCCTGTCATCTCTTTATCCCAGAGAGAAAGCAACCTTAGAGTGACGTTCCGTTTCATTTCTTGGGCTGTGTATTCATCTAGCCTTGTGCAGTGTAATTTGTATTCTTACACTGATGAATGTTGGCTTCTTGGACTTGGCTGTTTTAAGCCACCTTAGGGTCACACTGAGTTGAATCTTTTTCACTACTGCTGTTACTATTGTTCCTTCTTGTATTTTGTATTCTTGAATTTTCTGATACAGTATTTTAAGGGAAGTAAATGGCGCCGCTCTGGATAAAGAACAATAAACATTTCGCACATCAGGCTTTAATAGCCATTCTCCCCTTATAGTGTGTGGACTTAAGAAGAGAGTTTCTTCCGGGATGATGTTCTTCAGGCAGTTTTCAAATAAGATGTTTGTGGGCAGGGGCCGCAGGATCTCCAGTCATCGATTCTCTCTTTATAACTTTGCCCTTTTCCCTGGAACATCTGACTCGTTCAGGGCTCCCAGTCTGAATCACAAGGAAGAAACTTTACATAAACCATTTATACTACGAGTTTGGTATGCTAGTGGCATCAATCAACAACAATATCCATTAGATTCATCCCTGTATCAGTAGTATCTTGATAGAACTGATCCCGATGTGTGGGAATTTGAACTCTGCTTCAATACATCTAGCTGTGGATAATTAATTATTCAGGGCACAGAGAACCCGGACCTGCAGTGTAGAGTAATTCTCCCTGGTCAGCGTTAACTGTGCTGGCAATAATAAATAGGAAAAGTCTCCAGTGATGCCAGTATTTTAAAGTGATTAATCATCTCTTCCCCCTTCTCCTCCCCCTTAGTTTTCTTTAACTAAGATTTTTCAGCAATAAATCTCTAACAACACAGGTAGGGATTGTTCTGTAATTAAATTTTGCCCTGCTTAATTTCTTACCTTTTATGTGCTATTAAAAAATGTTACATTTTAAGGAGCTAAATTCAAACCAAGAGAAATCCTTTTATGGAATACTGAGATTCTCTGTGGAAGGGGAAAGTCTTGATTTTGAATAAAAGATAGGCATGCACTCATAAAAAATTGTTCGTCAACACCAGTTGGGGTGTCAGATATTCCAAGGTTTTGAATTGCCTCGCTTCCATGTTTAGGGTTTTTTCTGTATTGGAAAAAAGTCTGACACATACATATGTTCTCACATGAAGAGATTAATTACTTATTTGAGAAATAAGTTTAAAACTTTGGGATAATTGATGTCAGTTCTGTAGGAAAGGAATAATCCCATCATTTTTCCTCTTACACAAAATGTACTTGCTGAAGAACCAGGTAAATGTCACCCGAGGATGACCACATATTTCCAGATGGTACCCTGTAGAGCTGCCCAGCCATCACATAGATCCCAGGTGACAGGGACAGATGTGATATATTTGTTGTGACACACTTCTGTACCGCCAGTCCGTGGCTCGAGGTGACTCCTGTCCCTCCCTTCGTGCTTCTCTCTGCTTCAGGACAACACAACGACGCACGGATGAACCTCGCCATCGCCCTCACTGCTGCCAGGTACGGGGCTGCCACGGCCAATTACATGGAGGTGGTAAGCTTGCTCAAGAAGACAGACCCGGAAACTGGGAAAGAGCGAGTGAGTGGTGCCCGGTGCAAGGATGTGCTCACAGGTATGCCCGGGTCCACGAGGGAGGCATTTCCTAGCATTTTGCCCTGCTTGTATAATGACCGAGTGAGGATTTGTCTGTCAGTTTTCTTTTGGTGAAAGGCAGACTTCAGTCATCTTAATTATATTCCTTACTGTCAACAATGCCTGGTTTAACATGAAAATGGTCCTTGTGGGACTTGCCAATTTTCCCCCTTTGTGTTAAATAGTAACCTAATGATAAGGATAATAATAAATGCCCACAGATCTCTCACAGCCGTGAAGGCCTTTCATTCCCCTCACAGAAACATGTGATTAGTAAAATTAAATCAATGTACCAAATCTCCAAGCATCACTTAGGTGACACAAGCAGAGCCTTTGAGTCAATCACTTATAACTCAATAAGATTTCCAGTCTTGGCACAGCTTGGCTTAGGTAGGTACTTGCATCCTTTCTTGAACAAAATCAACACTTGTGAAATATATTTTCTCACTCTAATGCAGTTAAACATTTGGGTATTTTTTTCTAGTTGAAAAAAGGTAATTAATTTAGTATGCATGTGTTTATGTGCGAACACACGCATGTGCTTACATGTGCATGTCAGAGCTTGAATGCAGAAGTCAAGAGGACGACAGGGAGTTTTCTCATTCTGCCTTGTAGACTCAGGATCAAACTCAGCTTTTCAGACTTGACATAAGTATCTTAATCCACTGAGGTAGCCAGCTCTCTTCTTTCATCCCCGCCATCTTTCCTCCCCTTTCTCTCCCTACCTTCTTGAACCCAGGGCTTTTTGAATATTAGGCAGGAGTTCTTATCCCCAGTGGAGGATATCCCCAGCCACCTGATTGATCATATAACTTTTTAAATAGACTGAGAACCACCATGAAAGTGGTGTGCTGTTTTCCCTTTTAGTGTGGGCTAGTTTTGGGTGAATTTACTCAGAAGTGAGCCTTTCCTTTGGCTCTTCCCTAACTCTGGCTGTTCCTGTCACTTAGTGTGGTGTGTCCTAATATACTTCACCACAGGTTAAGCTAATAGATGAACTAATAATCAGTCCTGGTGAGCGGAGAACAAGCCGAGTATGTAATTGATGCTGCTTCTCTTCACAGGGGAGGAGTTTGATGTGAGAGCCAAGTGCGTCATCAATGCCACTGGCCCTTTCACAGACTCCGTGCGCAAAATGGATGATGACAATGTCGTTCCCATCTGCCAGCCCAGTGCGGGGGTCCACATTGTGATGCCTGGTTACTACAGGTAACAGCACTCTGTTTTGACACCCATCACCTGAAAAACTGTTTCCCAAGAGATTACACACTGAATGTCTTCTATGACATTTTTAACATTTTTGAAAAGTGTTTCATTTGGATTTTGTGGTTTATTTATTTATTTTTTCATTGTGTGTATTAGTTGTCTTAGGTTCTGTTACACTAGGGACCCTTTCTCACAAGCTTTTATTGTATATAGAGCATATCTCTCTCATGTCCCTCATCCATATTGGTGTCAAATTCCTGCCTATTCTCTTGACTCAACTTCCTAATAATTGGGATTATAGCTGTCAGTCACCACACACACTTTTATCTATTTGAAACTGCTGTATCCTTATGTCTGACTAGCATAGAAATTGGGTTATTTCTGTAGCAATAGATTCTTTGAGCTTAGGCTACTACATAGAGTGAAGCTTGTTTGCCCTCTTTCTTGTTGCGTCATTTGCAGAAGTGTGTTTATGGATTTGTAAAGTTTGATATAATCTTAACTAACATTCCACAGATGTAATGATCATTGTCAGGTATGGTAACAGCTTTTAGGTGTGTGTTTGGGAGAGGTAGGGGTGGCTAGTATTATGTTTTAGAGACTTATTTGTTTTCATCCTATGTGTATTGGTCTGTCTCTTGCAAGTCTGTCTCTGTGCCATATGCATGTCTACAGCCCGTGGAGTCCAAGAGAAGGTTGGTATCCCCGGTCTTGGAGTTAGTGGATGCCAGACACTATGTAGGTACTAGAAATCAAAGCTGAGTTCCTTTGAGGAGCAGCCACTGCTTTTTTAACCACTGAGCCATCCCCCAGCCCCACTAATTTATTATTTTCAGTTATGTGTCTATGTCTGTGCATAGGTAATGTACACATGACTGCAGGTGCCTGAAGAGGATAGAGGGATTGGAACCCCAGAGGTGGAGCCACATGTTATTGTGAGCCACCCAACAAAGATGCTTGGAATAGAGCTCTGCTTCTTTGGAAGAGCAGTGCTCTTAACCACTGAGCCGCATCTCCAGCCCCAGAAGAATTATTTTAACTTTAGAAAACCCAATACACAAACACAATTTTTGTCAATATACTCTTAAAAACCCAATCTGGAATTTTCCTCGGATTTGTGGTTTCTTCCAAAAGCAGCACGAGCCTCCCACTGACTGCTGTACACAAATGTAATCACCTCTTCCTCCTAGCCTGCTTTTTTTACTACTGACAAGAGGTCAATTTTTTTCTGGTAATGTGTGTACATACTGTTAGCTCTAACACTGATTGCTAAGTGGTTAACAATAAATTGATTTCAGTTTAACTAAGGGTTCTTCAGGAAAGCAATGGTCTGCATGAGAAAAATGTTCATTACCTTTAATCCTAGACACACACATAAATTAGCCAGCTTCCCCTGCTGATGCCAAATGAATCATACAGATTGAAAAGAGCTGCACACCTCTCCCATTGTACTGACTGTCACTAGAGCTGACTTTTTAGGGTGACCTTGGAGAACTAATCCTTCATAAGAAAACAAACTTGTCCTCGAGGGAGACTATGAAGTAGGTAATTTAGAACTGATGAAAGATACTTCCAAGTGGATTCTTAAATTTTTATACCATTTGTTAGTAGCTCTGTCTTCCCTCTGTGCTTGTTAATTTTATGCTTTACACATATGTCTTTACTTAAGCAGCTGATTCTCTACAGGTTCCAGGTACATGTTGGCTGGTAACTGTCACCTTCACCCTTTAAATGGCTTTTATTGCCGTGGAAGTTTCTGAGGGTCTCAGGAGTTACACTTTTCTAACTATACTTCCTACCTGGGTCACTAAATATTAGAATCTTATGCTTAATTTTATCATGTGTATTATGTGAAACCTGTCATGAGTTTTCTGGTCCATGAGGTGGTTGTATATAAATGATATTAACATGATATTTCTCTGAAGTTTCTCAAATGTTTTGTTTCAACAAAAAGACATTTATCAATCCAAAGTTTAGAACTGCATGTGTTAGTGTCCAACCTAAAGTGATGACTTAATCTAAGGGCATATCAATTTGGAGCCCCCTTTCCTACTTCTAAAGCTTATAAGTCTTGAGATTGACTAGAAATTGTAGGTCTAATAGCAAAGTAAGATTTAATGCTTTTTTTAGAGACCGAAAAATATCGAATATTTTTCAGTGCGTAATTGTGAAAATTCACTTCCCCTCTGGGTCCCTGGATGGTCAGGAAGACCTTAGGGAAAGGCTACACTCAGAATGAAGGATGCTCTCCCTGGGCTCTTTGGATTTAGAGCACATGGCATGTAGGGCTGGCAGCTTTGCTGAGAGAGACTGATCCTCCTTGTAGTCTACATAAAGAAGAAGTACTAAAGAAGTTGACTGAAGATTTCTGTTTTGTACAAAGTAGTTTTTGTTTGCTTTTAAACAGTTGTTACCCTCTCATTCTTACCCATTTGAATGAATCTCTATTAAATATTTTAAGGGTTTAATGTTTTAAAGGGTATAATAAACATAAGAGGTCTACTACATGTTCTTTACATGTATGTTTTTGGAAGGGAGATTTCTTGAAAATTGCTTAAACTAAATGTGATTGTTTCTTGTCTAAGTAATATCACTGTAGGACATACCTTTAACACTAGCTCTCTGTGAGAATTCAATAGTGTGACAGCCATTTAAAGATTTCCATTACTCTATGTGAATAAGACGGTTTGAATTTTTCCCACTTCTTTCAACTTCACATATTCTTGAAAGTGTAATAAGCACACTCAAACAATGGTTTTTAGTCAGCCATCCATGGGTTTTATTTTTAACTTAATGTATTTATTTTATGTAGATGGATATTTTGTGTGCGTGCATGTTTATTCACCTTAAGCATGCCTGGTACCCAAGGAGGTCAACAGAGGGCATTCTATTCCCCGAAACTAGAGTTATAGATGGTTGTAAGCTACCACATGGGTGGTAGAACTTGAACCCTTGTTTGCTGGAAGAGAGGCTAGTGTCTCCAGCTCATCTACCAGTTTTTATTAATGCTTGTCTACAGTTGCCCATTCTTGTAAGGGCATTTGTGATTTTGCTTTTAAATTGTGCGGTATGTCTTAGTGAAAATTCTTGGCTAAGGTTTAGATAGGTTTTTTTTTTTTTGCATCTGTGTCTTTCACTTTAATTATTGACATATTACTTCACTGTATTTGTTTGACAGATTCACATTGCTAATCTATTCCTCTACATTTGGCTTTTCCAATGACATTGTTACTTAGCAAATATAAAAAACATATGAAGACTGAGCTATTTTCTTCTCCATGCACTTTCTGACACTCCTGTCACTTTGAAATAAAGTAAAAACTCTCATATGTGACAAAGTAACACAGGTTCATTTATGTATCACAGAACGAAGGAGTTGGTGATTCCATTTTAGTTTCGAGAAAGTTTGACTTCTCTTTCTCATGCACTTCTCAGGTTTTCTACTGTGGAATGTGCAAAATGTCAAATGTCCCAGGAAAATACTTTTCATAGACTCCAAGAAAGGTTGAAGAGTTATCGTTAATTGGCCATAATAAAAGAAATTATAGGCATTTATTCCACTGACATTATCTAATGTGAATGGTCTAAAGTATAAAAACCAAAACAATTGAGAGACAATTAATTAACCGTGCATTGTTAGGTAGGAAGATTGCAAGATAATATTATCACATTTGCTCAGCTCCTTACTATTTTTTAACCTTTTTAATTTTTTTTTTGTTTTAGGAATTTCTATGTATTAAGATGGGATAATAAAATAGTAGCTCATGTCTTTCTTGTTTTGCTTATTTAAGCACGAGCACCAAACAGAATAGAATTGTTTCTTTCCACTCTAGCCCTGAGAACATGGGACTTCTTGATCCTGCAACCAGTGATGGCAGAGTTATTTTCTTCTTGCCTTGGGAGAAGATGACAATTGCCGGCACCACTGATTCGCCAACGGACATCACACAGCATCCTATTCCTTCAGAAGAAGACATTAACTTCATCTTGAATGAAGTGCGGAACTACCTAAGTTGTGACGTTGAAGGTAATGTAAATATTCCTGTGATATTTCTTCCTTCTTTGGTATCTACCAGACTTTTTCAGCAACTTGCTGGGCTTGTCTTGCCTCCAGTCAGAAACATAACCACACTTTGCATACTATAACCCTTAGCTTTTTTCTCTCAACCCCTCATACCCCATTCTGTTGTGTCAAACTTAGATCTTTGCAAATACCAGGAAGTGTTCTTTCTCCTAGCTAATACTTTCTCCTGACTACTACACTTTTTCTTTTGGGGGTGAGTGAGTAGATGTGAGGGAGGGAAGACAGGGCTGCATGTATTCCAGGATGTCCTTGAACTCTATGTAGTTTATGATCACCTTGAATTTATGATCCTCCTGCCTTTTGCCTCCAGAGTGCTGGGATTAGAGATGTGTGTCATCCCTCTGTCTCAGTTTATCAAGTGCTGGAATAACAGGCCTGTACTACAGATATATTAGCCTGTGTTGTTGTCTTTCTGTTGGTCTGACAACAGTACTATAGAATCTGTACTTTTAACGGTTTATTTAGCTAATAGTTTTGTCTTACTTAGGGTTTTATTGCTGTGAAGAAATAGAATAGCCAAGGCAACTCTTACAAGGACAACATTTAATTGGGACTGGCTTACAGGTTCAGAGGTTCAGTCCATTTTCATGGTGGGAAACATGTAGATATGTAGGCAGACATGGTGCTGGAGTAGGAGCTGAGAGGTCTACATCTTGATCCAAAGGTAGTCAAGAGAAGACTCGTCATCCATAGGCAGCCAGAAGAAGACTATCATCCTTACTGTGTGGAGTTTGAGCACAGGAGACCTCAAAGCCCACCTACACAGCGAAACACTTCCTCCAACAAGGCCAGACCTCCTAATAGTGCCATTTTCTATGGGCGAGCATTAAAACACAAGAATCTATGAAGGCCAAACCTATTTAAACAACCACAAGTTTAAAAGGTGGAAAGACTCAGATCCAGCAACCCCATGTATTTGGACTTTGGGTAGGTCCTGTTGGTTATGTTCAGTTATTACATGGAGGGAAGCATCACATGATGACAGTAGATATGAAAGTGTGAAAGAGGAAGAGGAGGCAAGAAAGTGCAAAGACTGGTCATGGGCCTGGCTTGGTCTCTCATGGCATATATTGCTCTTGAAAACTAATCAAGTCTCACTCAGGTAGGGAGAGCTGGGCCATTCAGTGAGGCCAGCTGTGATCCTGAAGGTGCTCTCAATACAGTCATTTTCATCTAGCCCACCTCTTAAAGTTCTGAGTACCTTTCAGGGCTGTCAAATGGGAGCCAAGCTTCTAGAAATTGACTCTTTGAGAAAGAAACCAATTTTCACATCATAGCAGTCTGGTTAGTGGTGAAAGTATATCAAAGTCAAAGTTGACTTTTTTTTTTTTTTCAGTTTAACTGGGTGCCTTTACTTGGATGTCATTTGCTCTCACAAAGTTGTATGATGGACTTTCTTATGTATAATAGTCTCAAGTTTTCTAGCTTTTTATCATTCTGGCTCCCAGCCTCAATACTTAGCCCATCTTCCAAGCTAGAAATAACATTTGTTCTTTCTTCGTTTTCCTTACCTAGTGTTTTAGTCAGGGTTTTTTTTTTGTTGTTGTTGTTGTTGTTTTTTTTTTTTTTTTTTTTTTGTTGGTTTTTCTAGACAGGGTTTCTCTGTATAGCCCTGGCTGCCCTGGAACTCACTCTGTAGACCAGGCTGGCCTTGAACTCAGAAATCCGCCTGCCTCTGCCTCCCAAGTGCTGGGATTAGAGGCGTGCGCCACCACCGCCCGGCCTTAGTCAGGGTTTTTGCTGTGGTGATTAAAACATCATGACCAAAAGAACTAGGAAGGAGAGGGCTTATTTGACTTACATATCGCAGTCCATTGAAGAAAATCAAGCAAGAATTCAGAGTGGGAACCTGGAGCGAGGAGCTGATACAGGTGCCATGTGGAGTGCTGCTTACTGGCTTGCTCATCATGGCTTGCTCATCATGGCTTGCTCAGCCTGCTTTCTTATAAAACCCAAGTGGTACCCTGGGTGGCACCACTAACAATAGGCTCGATTCCCCCTTATAGATCACTAATTAATACCCTTTAGGCTTGCCTATCATCCAGTCTTATGGAAACATTTTCTTATTTGAGGTTTCCTCCTTAGATGCCTCTGGCTTGCTGACTTATTAAAACTAGCTAGCACACCTAGAACACCACATGCACATCTTTCCAGTTTATCTCTCTGGTATTGCCCAGTCTTATATCTCCTTCCACCCCCACACAGTGTGTTATTATGTAGCATAGGCTTGCCGTGGACTCACAGCAATCTTCCTGTCTCAGTCTCTAATGTTGAATTATAGGAATATGCCGTTATGTCTGGCTCAAGTGTCATTTTGTACTTAGTTGGGAGTGACCCTTAAATTTGCTTTCTATGTTAGGTTTTTAATCTTCAACTAATCGTTCCTTCTGTCAGAGCTCAGTTACTAGAAGACATATGTGGTAATCTTTTTCCTGCACACACAAAAGAGAAAGAAAAAGTCACTTGTGAGTCTCCTCAATGACTTTAAGAAAATCTCTAGCCGGGCAGTGGTGGCGCATGCCTTTAATCCCAGCACTTGGGAGGCAGAGGCAGGCGGATTTCTGAGTTCAAGGCCAGCCTGGTCTACAGAGTGAGTTCCAGGGCAGCCAGGGCTATACAGAGAAACCCTGTCTTGAAAAACCAAAAGAAAAAAAAAAGAAAAAAAAACAGAAAAAAAAAGTATGTGAATTCTGACTGCTCACTGTGCTGAGAGACTGGGTACTGGGTGTGCTGGAGGTGGTGGTGGATCCTGGAAAGCCACTGTGTCCAGGATGAACGTGAAAACCTTCTCCTGATAGGAGATTTGACATCTAACAGAGGTGGTGACACTTATACTCTGGCTATAAATAGAAGATATAGCCATTCCTGCATGGTCTCCAGAGTCCCCTTCAAATCCCTTACTGTTTGGTTATCAGAGAAGTGGAAAAACTACCAAAGAGTACCTCTTCATTCTAAAGCTTGCAAAAGTGGTTGAACATTACTAATCAGGTTAGTTGCATAAGGACCATCTTGAGACTATGTTCATTAGGTATAGTATCCAGAAGGTGACAGCTCTCTCAGCTGTGTTCACCTTTCCTTGCTTAAATATATATTTTAAAATTTTAATAAAGAATAGTTCTCCATATTTTCTTTGCATTCTCTTTTCTAGTTGACTGGATTCCCTTTAGTTGAAGAATTGCACTTAGTCTTGATGAAGGGAAGCAGGTAGCTGATGCTCACTGTATCTTACAGTAAAGACTTTGCTAGTTGTATGTTTTCTCTAGGTGTTTTGGTGGAGTCTAGTGTCCTCATTTCACAGAAATGTGAAAGAAACAAAGCTTTGTCCCTCTGCAGACTCTTTTTAAAATGTCCTCCTCTGTGCTTTCAGAGCTCTGTAGTTAGTGTTGTATGTGCTGGACACGCTCCTATGCAAGCATGTTGCCAATCTTTCCTTCTAAGGAAATGTCTGCATTCCTTCTAAGAGCAATGTAATTCCTGCAGTAGTTGAAGTTGAGGGGCTGGAGTTGGTTTTTGAGCATAGCTCGGTAGTATTGGGTCCATGATGAGTCTTAAGTCAGTCTGGCTCTAATATGACCATCTAAATACTGTACAGTTCTTCAGTTAGTTGTTCTAGATTACATGATGTGATATAGGGTACAGTGTGGATTAAGTCTCTCTTTTTATGTCAAGGAATGACCCTTGAAATGCATTGTGTGTGTGTGTGCGCATGCGTGTGTGTAAGCATGAATGTGGAAGGCAGAAAACCACTTGATTAAGGTCTCTGTCTCCCTTTATGTGGGTTGTAGGGATCCGAGTCAAATTTCCTGGTTTGCAGAGCAGTTGCGTTTACCCTGTGAGCCATCTTGCTAGCCCAGAGCTGCCGATTCAAAATGCTTTGCATTCATTGAGGTCGGTCTAACCATACAGAAAGGCTTTATTAAATGGGTAAGTAAGTTCTGACAACAGTTTGAGTCTCCTCAAATGGCTCTATATCCTTCAGAGAGAGAGGGAGAGGAAAGTGTCAAATCCTAACACTCCTGCTGCTCTCAGCAGCTGCTTCACTTCTGCAGAATGCCTGGGAACCATTCTGAAAAGCGTTTTGCCTGTTGGGAATAAGCCCATGTCTTCTTTTACAATTTTGAAAGCTTTCCATTCACAGGCTGAAATTTCTAGATTACTTGTTTGTTCTTTGCTGAAATGGGTAATTGATAGTTTTGCAGTTCATGTTGAGTTAGGAAGAAAAATGATCTTTTGAAAAATGTATCATTAAGTTACTGTGCAGAGGTTAATCAGAGGGATGCCGTGGTGGGGACTAAGCTACGGCTGCAGTGGATTAAGAGAGACAGAAGATTTGCTGGGCTCTTCAGGCAGGCTCGCAGTGTTCTGGGGTGCTTCTCGATGCTGCCTCTGCACTTGCACATGGGCTTGCACATGTGCAATTAGTACTGTTTATAGATTGCCTGCTATTCAATTAACAGCCGAGCTGGCCATATCAACTCACTGCAGACCTGCCTTTTCCCTGCCAGAGATTGTACTCGGGTTATCAACTTACACAGGCTTGGCTGTCTTCCAGCTGTTTAATTAGAGTGTCATGCGCCTTGCTTTTTCTAGTTTCATTAGTTTATAAATGTAATATGGTATCTTATTTCTGTGATTAGCACTTCATTCCAGCAGGTTAAACACGCTGGTAGGAAAGTATTGATTTCTGACACTGTTTCCCTGTATTCATTTAGATATTTTCACATGGCTCTTTCAGAATTTTTTTGAAAATGGTAAGCATGAGAAAGAACACTCCTTTCTCTAAATGCACACCTAAATAATTAACACCAAACAGAATCACACATTTAAGCTTAATTGTCACTTCCTGTGGCCTTCACTTTCTATTAATCTTGAAACACTTGTCTTTGCCAAGGATTTGAGAAGAGAAGTATTAATTATAATCTGAAACAATCACATTGAGCTTTTTTTTTTTCTTGGAGCCGTTTAAAGTTCTGGTAACATTTATAATTTCTATCTTACTCTTCAGACCATTGAGTAAAGTGAGAAGTAAATTATTGAAGACATAACAGAAATGAGTTTGATAGGTTCTGTTATAGCTCTGGCTATCCTGGAACTCTCATTGTAGACCAGGCTGACCTTCAATTCAGAGACCTGGCTACTTCTGTTTCCTGAGTGCTGGGTTTAAAAGTGTATGCTACTGCCCCTATTTATTTATTTATTTATTTATTTAGCCAGGCTCTCATTTTGTAGCCCAGGCTTATCTTGAACTCAAGGTATTTTCTCCTGTCTCAACCTCCCAAGACCAGTGATTCCATGCTTGAGACACAAACCACTCTGAGCTCAGAGAACTCTTCAGTTTCCCAATATAATACTTACTTCTAACTCTGTTGCTTTTTACTTGGTACACTGTTTAGAGTATTGAGCGATCTTAGAATCTCTACTGCTAAAGACAAGTAACATGGCAAGGAAGAGATGGAAAAGTAAAGGAATCTTGATTAGTTGTGTGAGCAGTGTGAGTTTTAGTTCTAAGACACCAAAGCCCCAGTTTGTTGTGCTTTCCACAAGTGACACGTTCCATTCCTCTAACTGTGGACAGTTCAAGGAGTTCATGTTTACTACCTACTCTTGGCTACAAAGGTGGATGATAGGACCAGTGTCAGCATAATAATTTGAGAGGAAGAATATTTAGTTGAGTAGACATATTTTTTTCCTTTCATGATTTCATGAGATCAGTAAGAAAGGGGGACTGCTTGGAATGCAAAATAAGAACCCCAAGGTTCATTAGGTATGAAAGCACATTCTTAGGAACAAAGCAAGCTAATCAAATGTCAGTGGGAGGCTGTGTCTTAGAAACAAGGGCAGGGTGGCCTTGATGTGAGTAACCATCTTGATAACCTACTGGGATCAACCTGCCTGTGTTCTAGGGAGCCTTTAGAGACCTGTATGCCAGCTAGTTAAATTAGGTCCAGTTTTCTTTCCTCAGTTGCCTAAATCACATTTCCAGGTGTCAGTTGCTGCTTCTGTTGGTTAGTGAGTTGGTCTTTGCTAATAGCACTACACTGCCAAAACAGTCTGTAAAACTATCCTGCTAATGTAGTCATTGCATTGAGGGAGGTTACAAGTGTGCAAGTTTTCCATGTCGGTTAATGGATCATCAAGAGAGAATTCTGTCAGCTTTCGTTAGTTGCTATTTTTTTCCTTGAAAGTTAGAACTGATGTTTCTATGTGTATTTGTTCCCTACTCCCTGGACAGAACATATAGCTGTAGCTTTGAGCTTGAGCTGATGTTGCTGAGTTTGTGTGGTAGTGGGTTACAAACTTCAGTAGCAAATAACATTTTAAGTAACTTGTCAAAATTTTGAGCAATCTGTCAAAATCATTGTGTCAAGTTTGGGAGAGGGTGAGCATATAGAGGATGACTAGGCAAGGAAATAGGGAGGGGAGAGAAGTGGGGGGAAGAAGGAGAAAGATGGAATTTTCTAACTTAACTCTGGGTTAGTAATGCAAAAGAAAGTCATGTAGGCCATATAGAATACTTCATATTTTAAATAGAATTTTATCTGTATTGATGTTTTGCCTGCATGTATATCTGAGTGTGTCAGGACCTCTGGAACTGGAGTTACAGACAGTTATGAACCACCATATGGGTGCTGGGAATTGTACCCAGGGCCTCTAGAAGAGCAACCAATGCTTTTAACCACTAACCTATCTTTCCAGCCTAATTTTATTATTCGTAAAATATATTTTTCTGAATAATTAATTATAATATCCATGTGATAAAATTTCGATATTGTTTTTAATCTATATTATCTCCTTAAAAAAAAAAACTTCTATTGCATTTCTTGAGGCTTTATCCATGAGCCTAATAGGTGTATCATTTCCACCAGTATTCTGTCCAGTTACTCCCACACACTCACCCACTCCCTCAAACTGATGACAGCATTGTGATACAAATTTCAAGCTAAAACCCAAATGCTAAGATATCAAGTATTAAGGACTTTCCTGGCTGTGAATTCTTTCTTCCTGATGGCGTTCGAGTCTCAGGGCCAGTCCCAGGAATAAGGGCGGAGGGGAGATAAATTTGTTCACTGTTCCATTCCACTTTGTGAATGAACTCCTTGACCGTCTCAGGTTGGCCCTCTGTTTCCAACAGTGCAATCTTGGATGTGTGTTGTTTTATGTCCATTAGAGTAGAAAAGGTGAAGCCTTGGCCAGATAGTTGTTTTGCATATGCTTCACATTCATTCTGGAAACTCCAATTTTCCCTAAAATACTTCAGACATTAGTCATGGAGTTTCAAGAGTTTAAACCAAATTCCTGATCAGTGTGGCTACTGAAGGAATTTCACAGATATGGGAGGGACTGTTCACTGACCACAGTGACGTCAAAGGTGAGTTGGTTGCTTTATTTTTGACTCTGAGGGCCGGGTACATACTAATGGAAAATATAGTGATTTCCTAGTTAAAGAGTTTTATAAAGATTAAAGCACTATTTACGTTGAAAGATTTTTTTTTTTAAAGACGTGTAGGACTTTGTTGAGCAGGGTTACCCCTGGGCCACAGAAATCTCAATATTACATTTATTTAAGAGAATGCAAGCACCAGAGGGCTAGAGCTGGGGGTGGGGGACAGGGGGCAGAGGGAAATGGTACGCTTACTAGCATACATAAGATCTCCCATGGCCTCTAGTTGACCAGATTATGCAGCTGTAAGACTGAAAGTATCTGTTTCCTCAGCAGCTCTTTATGTCCTTGCATCCCTGATGCAGTATAACTGTTGGATATGCATCCTCCCTTTCAGACCATAGTCATTTTAAGATTACAGATGTTCCTTCCCCTCATTTTGGACACCATTGGACTGTGTGCCTCACCCACAAATTTTTTCAGCAGGTGTCTGATTGATTGGTAATATTTTGCCAGAGATAAGAATAATTTTATGTTATCTTGTTATTGAGAGAACCCTACAGTACAAGAGTCACATAGCTACTAGAAAGAGCCGATATGCCCATCTCTGGTTCAGTTATGGAAGGTAGGAATGAGAAAAGAACAAAGAATAGAAGTTGTTGGCAGTTGAGGGACATCTTGGTTTGAACCAAGCCTGACTCTAGGGAAAGGACATTTGCTGTGACAAGTTAGTTACTTATGATAGCTGGTTATGGAGCAAAATTGCCATTGCTCTGGGGCTTCTTTGAGGTGAAATGAGAAGACCTGAGAGTAGCAACTGTCTTTCACAGAGCGCAGGCCCTACGCCAGCTGTTCATGGGTGAACGGATTGGAGAAAGAACACGTCCTACAAGGTTCATTAACAAAGATCTTTGTCAGTCTTGAGGAGAAAGTCAGGTTTCATCTAGAACAAAATGTAAAAATTCATATATGTTTCATTTTTCTCTAAATGATAATCCTGTTCCCCATTAGGGTTGTCGACACTGGCTTCTGTGGCTTCCTCTTTGACACATTTGCCCATGACCTTCAGGCTTCTCCTCCCCCAAGCAAATTCTCTTTGTGTTACAGAATTCCCATCCTCACAGTAGTTTCATTTCAGGCTAATTTCTTTGATCTCACCTGTGGCTCTAGACTTCTGAATTCTTTCCTATATTTTTATCTTTCATTAAAACTTTTTTTTTTTTATTTCTACCAGTGAGAAGAGGAGATGTCCTGGCAGCATGGAGTGGTATTCGTCCCCTTGTTACCGATCCCAAGTCTGCAGACACTCAGTCCATCTCTCGAAATCATGTTGTGGACGTCAGTGACAGCGGTCTCATCACAATAGCAGGTATGGGGAGCTGACTCATTATTCAGATTGTTCTTTTCCACTCTAATGTACAAGTGTTTTGTCTTATTTCTTGCCAAGAGGTGACTTTTGTTATTATTGGTAAATGGTCATTTATAAGAAAAATTCAGAATGCCAACTTAATGGCTTACCGATCTCCTTGTAGGTGGAAAGTGGACCACATATCGTTCCATGGCAGAAGATACTGTGAATGCAGCTGTCAAGGTTCACAACTTGAATGCAGGACCCAGTAGGACAGTTGGGCTGTTCCTTCAAGGAGGCAAAGATTGGAGCCCCACGCTCTACATCAGGCTTGTCCAGGACTATGGGCTTGAGAGTGAGGTGCGTGGACATTGGTTGCCACACTACCTTGCTTTGATGTGGCCCAGGTCTCAGTCTACTGAGATGCTGTGGCCTCACTGATTTAGAGTGATCTTTTTCCTGGGCTTACTGTGAAGCAAAACAAAACAAACAAAACCAAAAGAACCCCACAAAATCAGAAAAGATGATCCAACTTTATGATAGTTGTCTAAAAATTTAGTAATGTGCATTCAGTTTCTCTTTGAAAATCTCCAATTTATTCAGTTTGCTTCTAGTAGACAAAGTTTCTCCAACCTTTTTGCATCTTGAATGCAAGAAGAGTGTTCTTCAGGAGTGAAATCAAGAAGGAAATGAAGCAGAAGGTCCATCTGTCAGTCACTGATCTGGTGCTACACGGATGCTGAGTCAGTGCTGGCCTAAGCATTCAAAACCCAAGTAGTTTCCTCCCACATAGGCTGGACCTAATGCTCCCTGAGAGCTATTCATTACAGGCTGTGGGAAACTGACAGGAGAGTGCACTGTTGCTTTCTCCTGTACCAAAAGGACTGTCTCCCAGAGTACCCGTCTAATGCAGTTTTATTTTGGTAGGTTGCACAACATTTGGCCAAAACCTATGGTGACAAGGCTTTTGAGGTAGCCAAAATGGCAAGTGTGACTGGGAAACGGTGGCCTGTCGTTGGAGTGCGTCTTGTGTCAGAATTTCCGTACATCGAAGCAGAGGTAGGTGGTGGCCAAGGGACTTCCTGTGTGTGGGGCTCTGCCGTTCATCGGGTTCCTTCCACCTTTAACAGTTAGGTACTGTTACGTTTCAGAGCACACACACCAGCCAAAGTCTGCAGTAAGGTTTGGAGCCTTCACTGACACTCAACTCTGAAGTGCTAGTGGTAACAATAGTACAGGTATGAGCTTCAGAGTTTGTTCAAGAAGCATCACGAGTCTGAAAGTTCTGTTTCTCCCATACTTTGTAGATCTTTAAGTTCAAATCACTTCTATCTAGTCTGGTTCCAAGCCCTCCCGATGCGATGGTTTCTCAGAGATTTGTCTTATTTCTCAGCTTGTTTAACCACAGCTTTTCTGTCCTCATGCTTTGCATATTCCACCCTGTAAATTCCATGCAAATTAATGTTTCCATTATGTGTTAGCAAAGAGAGTGATTCCTGTGGATGGTGAGAAGTGATGTCTCTGTCTTCTATTCAGGAAGAAGGCATTCACTCTTACCCAACCCACCCAATTTTCCAACCTTCTGTGGTGGGCAGAGGGAGGGCCCGAGCTGTGCCACAGGTGCACCTGTGTCCATGGAGAGCCAGAGAGCCAGAGAGGCTGCAGAAAAGCACCCCCTTTTCTCAAAGCTTTTTGTAAAATGTGGACATCGATTATCTTTAAAGGAAAGATTCAAAGTAGCATTTTTTTTCTCTTTAACTTAGGTGAAATACGGGATTAAGGAATATGCGTGCACCGCAGTTGACATGATTTCACGTCGCACCCGCCTGGCCTTTCTCAATGTTCAGGCTGCAGAGGAGGCCCTGCCCAGGATTGTTGAGTTAATGGGCAGAGAATTGAACTGGAGTGAACTGAGGAAGCAGGTATTGTACAAAAGCCTTTACAGTTGTGTTGATGAACATGTAGCAGCCCAGTCTGTAAAGGCTGGCATAACGTACGGTGATGGTTTTAGGTTTCCTGATAACTTCTGTGTTATACATATCTAATATTACTAAGTCATAAGAAAATGGAAAGATAAAAAAAAAAAAAAGAAAATGGAAAGATTCTTATGCCAAAATTTCATTGTTATAGAAATCTAGAGAATGTTTTAAAGTTCCTGATCATAATTCCTGGAAAAGGAAGATACAAAAGACAGTTGGGTGCAGCCTTGTCTAGGTCTCATTGAAAATACTCTTAATTTTTGCTCTTGATAATCCTTTGATTAAAAATAGTAGTTTCACTGCCTGACTAGCAAGAGCTTATTATTTGAATCAGTTGATATTTTAACTGATGAGAGATCTTTGCAATATGAAGAAAAATCAAAGTGTCATTTCATATTTTATATTTATTACCAAATTATAAAAAAAAATTACCTGGTAGTGGTGGCACACACCTTTAATCTCATCACTCTAATGGATCTCTGAGTTCAAGGCCAGCCTGCTCTGAAGAATGAGTTTCAGGACAACCAAGACTACACATAATGCCTCGCTTGAACTACTATTTTATACTCAAAAGGAGTAGTTCTTTTGAGTCACTTCATAGCTTTGTCAAATACTGTCCCTAGAGCCTCTTCCACATCATAAGAGCTCGGTGCTCAGATCTCAACTTTAGCATCATATTTGTATATTCACTCATACCCCAAACAAAGCCTCTCAGAATCTCACAGTGATCATCCAGATCAGGTTGAAGTGTCACCCTTTCTTACTGTATTTGTTATTGTTACCTTGATGTAGGCTCCTGGTGTGTTTAATGTATCACTGTACTGACTTCTCTCCTAGTATGCCAATGTTCCCATATGAACAAACTTCAGGGATTATATGAGAATATAATCCAGACTGTCATTGGATATGTCCAACGGCCTTAGCTAATATACATTTTAAAATTAGATTCTGTGACATTATATTAGATGCAGTCATGAGGGGTCAGGGGTGGGGCTGAATACTGGTAGGCGAGGAAAGTGGCCCTGGAGTTAGTCTAAGGACACTTCAAAGTATAGAGATAAGGAAGGCTATAGAAGAGATAGAGGGGAGTAGCTGCTTAGGTTGGGGGAGTTCTCTTAAGACTAAGAGGGCATTGTGATTCAGGCTAACGTACATCAGGGCTACTGAGACAGAAATACTGCCAGGGAGGTGCTTCAAATAGCAAACATTTAAGTCTCAAATTTATTTCTTCACTTTCTAACATGAAGTCCAAGGTCAAGGTACCATCAGCTCTAAACTTCTTTTTATGGTTCATGGACAGAAAGCTCCTTGGCATATTCACACGTGTGTAGTAAATGAGAATTATTGAGCATCTTGTCATGTACAGTGCAGATGAGTATTGTGTCTATGGCCTAATTGTCAAGTGTTCATATTATGGTGTAAATTCCTAAAGGTGGAATTCCTGGGAAATAACGGGTGAAAGGGTCTTTTTAGAGGTTTAACTTTATTTATTTCATTGTTCAAGGGCACAGTGGCCTTGTGTTTTTTGAATCCGGCTATAGAGATTCTAATGTTGTATCTATTCTTCAGTGAACTGTGGCAGAAATCTGTGGTCAGTGCCTTGATGTCCTCCTTGTGCTTGTGTGAAGAGTATCCCTGTCTTTGGACTGTTGATAAAGAGTCCCAGTGGATAGCCCAGGCTGGCCTGGAAGTCAGGACTCTATCACTTCAGGCTGTAAGAGCTGGATTCTAGGCGTGTACTGGTGCCCAGCTGTGAAGAGAATGGCCTTCACCTAGATTTTATAGTTGAGAAAACAGACCCAGTTACTACAAGTAAATTGTGGAGCTGCATCCAAAACCTATCTCTTGACCCCTTCTTGCTGCCTCTGTACTGGCTTATAACTCTTCCCATTCTTGACTTTTAGTTCTCCATGAAGACAGCACAACAATACCTATCCTTTTTTTTTTCTGTGTAGAAGAATCAGGGCATGTTCTGATAAATAAATTATAGTTGGAATGATTAGATGGGAATATATATGTGCTAGGAGGAAGGAAGTAGGAGAAAATTCTAAAAACCAGTTGTGTTCAACATTTCTGGTATAGAGAGATTTAACTTTATTTCAAACTTTATGAGTAGATGAACATTCCTTGGAATATGCCTAACCTTCATAAAGTAACAAAACTAAACAGCTAAGGGTGTTGTTCAGCTTCTGAGGCACAGGAACTTAATGAGGACAGTGGACGGTCTGGAGAGTACAAAAGAGAAGGAAACAAGAACGAAAAGGTTAGAAAGTTGTACTTCTGAGAAAAGGTTAAAAGCACTGGGATTATTTAACCCGCGAAAGCGAAAGAGGAACAGGGTGATTAATAACTCTGCATAGATGAATTGTGTTGTTTCCACGGTCAATACCCAATGAGTGACCCGTATACTGAGCATGCTACCAAACAGTGTAGGGAATAATAAATAGCTCAGAGTTCCACAGACCTTCCACTCTGCGTGGATACAACACATGCACATGGCAGGAATGCATGTGCAGCTTCAAAGTTTACAGATGTATTTAGAGACGTGGTTCATTGAGACTGAAAGTCAACTGATAGAGAAAAATAAAGGAGTCAGACCAGGGCTGTGGTGGAGTTGAGAATGACTGAGGAACAGGAAAGGACATTTCCAAACTGTATGAATTAATGTGTGTGAGAAAGATGACAAACAGGAAGTTTTTGTGTCAAATAAATAAGGGAAGCTTTATTTTTAGTTCAGTTGATTTGAAACATTTGAAATGCTATGTATATTGTCAGTTCCAACAGAGAAATTTCCTTGGAGACCTTGGACTAAACTTGCTTTTTAGGACGGCCGAGCAGGAAAGGGCATGAGCATCACTCAAAACATATTTAGAGAAATGTTGTCCAGAAGAGAGACAGGGAGACTTTGTAATTTTCATATAAGGTGCATTTTTATTTTCATAGTGAGACTTTACATTTCAAATTTAAAACAGACAGAAGACATAGTCAGATAGGAGGTGACTCTGCATCAATTTTATTCTAGTCAGGGAACTAGCTGTTGGAATTCTTTCTTTTATGTGACCCTTGAATTAATCTAATAGAAAGAGATTAGAAAACAGAAAGTGGAAAATGTAATGCTTGTTTTAAAAAGCAGAAAGCAAAATATGTCTTTGTGACCTAGGAATGGCCTTCACATTGATCTTGGCTGTTTTTGTTAATTATGTTCATCAATTTTTATTAGGTTCACTATGTTTATTATTATTTAGGAAGAAGTGTAGGCTATGGGGCAAATTAGAGGTCCTAGGGAAAAAATGTTTCATAATTGTTTTCCTATTACAGTAAGGATCAAGAGAATATTACAGAAGCGATATATAGAGACTCCATAGAATATTTCATATAGTCTCATGCGTCTTTGACAATCACCAATTCTGACCTCTGAAGAGGTCTCATGATAGCAGATTACAAGCACTCTGTCCCCTTGACCTAGTCTCGTTTCGTTCAAGTGTTTACATTACAGTGCTGATGCTTTGCTTTTTTGGTGTGCCGATAAGCACAGGAACAAGTAATATCTGATAATAAATTAAAACAATAGTACAGTACAGTGTACCAGGAGAGTTTCTATAGAAACAAATGATAAAACTTTTGTTCTAGGTTAGACTAACTTCATTTATTCAAGCTAAGTTTGACAGGCTTAGAAATATAGCGGACATGAAAAAGAGTGGCTTTAGTTAACTATGACTACCAATAAATTAACAGTGGATCATGATTGTCCCCTACTCTAATGGATTCTTTTTTATGTGTTAATATGGCTCATGTATCTAGAGAGTTGGATTGTTACTCCTTTTTAGGTACTTTCCTTATCTCTGTAGGAACATGGATTTTGTTTGTTTGTTTTCTGACAGTTGGTCTGGAAGAAAACATCCAAATGTCATAGGGCTTTAAAGTCATGCTGAAGTCATATTGAAGCTCTTGACTAGCAAATCTCTAAGGGGTAAATAAAGTACTTGATGCTGCTTTCAGTATGCAACGTATGATTCAGATGGTTCTACTGTAGCAACATCTTGGTCATCCTAAGTAAGTTGGAAGAATTGGAGATACATTTAATCTCAACCTAAAATGTCTTACTAGGTACATCATCCTTTCAGGAGCCACTTTGAATAGAGTTGTTACATTAAAAGTAGTAGTGTGATTTAGACAGATGCCTCAGGCTTCTGTTTATCCTATCTGTAATGGAAACACGGTTAGGAAGCTACTTTGTGACCTGGATGGACAGATTGCTTCCTTCTTTGAAACATCGTGATTATTTGGTTGAGTGTGTATAAACTTCACAAGCAGTAAAAGAATATGAATTGTTTAAGAGATTGTCATTGGAGGAAAGCCTCAGAGGCAGCATGTCTAAGGACACGACTTTTAGAATAGTTTATAGAGAACAGCTGGAAAAGATCCATTGAACAGTGAAGAATAGCTCTGGAGATTGAGAGTTCACGTTTTATTTAACCACAGGAAAGTAGATGTAGACACATTTATTTAGTTTTTATATTCAATATTATGCAGCATTCATGATGTTTTATTTCTTCTGTTGCATCTATTTTTGAGGAGAAAGGAGGTAGAAAGGAATAATCTCAAAAACTGTTTAAGAAAACAGAGTGCCAAGGCTTGTTGTTGCCACGGTCTGTACAGTGGTTTAGGTCCCCACACCTCAGTTGATGGTCATTTCAGTTTCATGTTCAGTATGTGTGGCCTGTGAAGTTGGGAATTTAAGATATGCATTGGCTTTTGCTAGGTGAAGGTGTATGACAAACACCTCCGTGACTTAGGCTATTAGAGATGACCTAGCCATTAAGAGGGCTTGCAGCTCTTACAGACCGCTCCCACACCCACACTGGGCAGCTCACCACTTGTGAAACTCCAGCCCCAGGGATTCTGATGCCCTCTGCTGGATGCCATGGGCACCTCACACATACACATACCTCCATATATAGGCATAAGTAAATTATAATAAAAGCGAATCTTAAAAACCCATCTTAGTGGCTTAGCACAGCCAGATATTTTTGTTTGTTTTTGAATTTGAGACACGTTTATGTAGTAGCATCTATATATGAAACTCCATATATAGATGCTGTCAAACTCACAGAGATCTGCTTGCCTTTGCCTCTCAGCACTGGAAGTAAAAGTGTGCACCACCATACCCAGCTCAGCTAGGATTTGATGTTTCTCCTTCATAGCTGCCTAAGCCATGCTTGTTCTCCGGGAATAATTCTCTTGTTCCTACAAGAGAGGTAGAGAAAATTAGGAAGTCTCTTTAAGCCATCTTATACCCATTCATTTCTATTGGCCAACGTAAGTCACATGGCCAAAGCACACAAATTAAGACTGAGAAATACATGTATGTTGGAGGGGTGTTTGTGTGTGTGTGTGTGTGTGAATTTATACATGTGAAAAGAGAGATCTGCAAACAATATATACTATAATATTGTCACTTGAGGTAGTTAGGTGGGAGAGTGACAAAATGGTATCTAAGGGCGGTGCTTGTTGCAGATGCTGGCCCAGGATACTGAAAATAGTGAGAACAATTGTGGAAGAAAGCCAGCTTCATGCTGACTCTGAGTGTCAGAAGCCCTTGACCGAACTTCTACATGGCTGACCACAAGCACTGCCAGCCATGCTAGAGGAGACTCAAGTTAGCGATCGTTCACTTTTATTTACTTTTCTTGTCACCACACTTTAGGAATTTGATAGTGAACAGCATACAAGGGCAACTGTGGTAAAAAAAAAAGAAAGAAACTGCAGTGTTACCACATGTAGAGCGGGCATCCTGGTGGTGCGGGGAAGCAGTCAGCAGTGTTACCACATGGAGAACAGGCATCTCAATAGTGTGGGGAAGCAGTCAAACACAGGTGACATCATGCTCTATGCAATTTAAGAAAAGATGAACTTATCCCAAGGCCCACCAGAGTGTGCCTAGAGCTGGAGCTGGGAGAAGAACCAGACAAATGGAGGTGGACACAGCAAGTGTGTAAGGTTGCAGCAGTGTTCTGTGTCTGCAATTATTAGTGTTGCCCAACTAGAGGGAGAGGTGGAACATCGGTAAAACTGGACGTTGGCCCAATAGAATCAGCTTCTGCTGATAAAAGAGAGAGGGGGGAGCAGTCAATAGCTCCTGTTAATCTGCCACCTTTGTGCATATGTCTTTTCTTTTGTAGGAAGAACTTGACGCAGCCACAAGGTTTTTGTACTATGAAATGGGCTATAAGTCTCGAACAGAACAACTCACAGATAGAACTGAAATCAGCCTGCTACCTTCAGACATCGATAGGTACTTTATTTCAATAGCTCTTCTCCACTCCTCCTCCACACCCTCCTCCACTCTTTTATATAAGACTATCTGCCATTATTCAATTTTGGGTTGCAGGTACAAGAAGAGATTTCATAAATTCGATGAAGACGAAAAAGGCTTCATTACCATTGTTGATGTTCAGCGTGTACTAGAGGTGATACAGATTTTTTTCTCCATTATCAGTCTTCTGGTATATAAGGATATAAAATTCATGTTGGTTCACATTTTTCACAAGTAGTAGCTGTAAGGTTCTAGTCACATTAGCAGAAAGCTACACATAATTTGTAATTTAACCCTTATTTCTCTGTGCTCCTCTGCCTAGAGTATCAATGTACAAATGGACGAAAACACACTGCATGAAATTCTCTGCGAAGTAGATCTGAACAAAAATGGACAGGTTGAGCTCCATGAGTTTCTGCAGGTGAGTTGTGATAAGGCAGATGCATCTGTGTTTTTCCTTTTGCTTGTCATCATACTGAGAACGGATTCTTTTTTTTTTAAGATTTATTTAATTTATATGAGTACACTCTTGCTGCCTTCAGACACATCAGAAGTGGGTACCAGATCCCGTTACAGATGATTGTGAGCCATCATGTGATTGCTGGGAATTGAACTCAGGGCCACTGGAAGAGCAGTTAGTGCTCTTAACCGCTGAGCCATTTCTCCAGCCCAAGAACTCTTAAATCTATCTGTTAGTCGCTTTGTCTGAAAACATAGCCTGATCCAGTAGCAGTTGATCTGTCTGCCTTTGAGGATGAGCTCTGTTCGTGTCTGTTTTCTTTCTCTTTATAAGAGGCACCTGTTTTATTGGTTAACTTAGATTACATGCAAGTTAATTGTGGCATATAGAATTGCATAATTAAAGAACAATGCCGTGTACTATGATTGTCTCACTGCCTATGATGCGAGTCAACAGAGTACTTCTGGTATAGAAAGTCATTGTTCATTGTTATATGGGAGAAATTATAATCCATAATTTTTTTATTCATTGAGTAATCATATTCACCTAAGAATACAATTAGTTCTTACATTTTGAAGAACCAGAAAAGCAAATGAGAAGGGACTTAAACTCCAGGATTAAGACCACAAATTTAAGCATTTCCATGCCTGATGTTCAACTAACGACAGTTTCAACTTGTTCAACCATTCTAACCATGAAGGAAATCCATTTTGTTCCTGTAACCTCACGCTAGATGCTCTACATCACTCCTTAATAGTTCTGTAAAGGAAAGAAATTCAACGCCATATCCCTGGCTGTCCATAGGACTGATCGTTTGAAGAACGCATTGGTTTCAGGCAGCCAGGTTTTTTTCTGTAGTGTTTCTTGGGCAGGTACTTCAAATGAATGCCAGGTCTTGCTTGCACCATGGCAATGATGAATGCTGAACATGAAATAAATTAATGCTGGGATTTTGGTCAATGTCAGCCCTTTCTTCACTGTGTCAAGTTAAACAAACAAGATCAAGGCAGAGGAAATGGTAATTGTCTCTCTGGAGATGAGCTGTGGATAAGAGCATTGTTGAATCTAAATGCAGAAAATTTTCGAAGGTTGTGTCCAGCATTACAAAAAAGAGTGTTTAGCTATTTAACTAACTGTTTAACTGAATGCGAATTTTAAATGGCGTTTGAGATTTATGGTTAGGACTTTTAACAGAAAACATTTAATTCCCCTTTTTCTATAGTTTTTCTGGAGAACATTTCCTTGTCTTAGAATTTCAGAAAACTCTTTTTTAAATAAATAGCTTATGCTTCATTTCTTGTGCTTTGCAAACAAACAACAGCACCTAGACCTAAAAAACCTAGGGCTTTAGAAACAATAGGAATCTAATTTAATGAATATGTGTGTGGCTTGGGTTTTAAGTAATTTTCTTGAATGTAGTAGAGTTATACACATAGGAAATAATTTAAACCACCTGCAGGTTTTCTTGTAGAGTTTTTAAATAATTAAGTATTTCCTGACCAGTTCTAAATAAAAGCAAGCATTCATACTTCCAATAAGAACACTCCATAATTTCCAAGTTATAAAACACTGGCCTTTTCCCTCATAAGGTCTGTTCACACCTAGGTATATTTTTTTTCTTGCAATACGGTTCTTGGATACGTGTAATACCTAACAGAAAACTTTTAGTTTGTTGCGGTTGGTACAGGAAACACTATCAGTGGCTGAGAGAGGAGAGGAGTTAAGATCTGACAGTTGTTACCTATGATAAATCCCAAGGTTCTCCCAGGATCGGAGAGAAAACAGTAAACAGACAACTGTTCTATCTTTAAATGTAACTTTTTCCTTAGGTAAAATATTTCTCCGATGTAAAGTATGTTTCCACATCTGATTGCTTAGTGAAATGTTTTCCTTTTCTAACTATTAAGAGCCCACATTTATCCTGGTAAAGATCTGCTTTTGGAAACGGGTGCGTGTTTTCAGTCATCATAATGGGAGGAGTTATGGAGACTGCTTGGGTTGGGATTTTGTTTATGGGTCTGGCCATAATGACACTTGTGTACGTAGGACTCTCACAAGCGACTGCTTGTGAAGCAGCTTTTAATAAGGTCAAGAGATTCAGGTCTAGCCCTGGGGCAGATGCCTACAACTCCCATGGGGAGCACGTTTTTTTGAAAATGTATCTCCATAGGCTAAAACCTTAACTATGAAATAATTTGAATGTTTTCAAAAGGACTTTAAAAAATATAACTAGCTCTATTGAGTACATTTTTTTTAAGTAGAAGAAATTAGATTTTTAAAAATTCACTAGTTAGTGGAAGGAAGTGGCAATCAATCCTCATACTCAGAATTGCAAGGAATTTTCTGCATTAAAGGCTTTTGCTTACTGCCTGCGTGCAATTTTAGATTTAATTCTGACTTTATCCTTTGGATAAAACTGAATCAGCTGAAATCTGGGTGGTGAAATAATTTCAATTAGGGCAGATCTCGAAGTCTATTTTCAATGACTTGTATTTAAATTTGTTTAGAAAGACTTCCAGGGATTTGGACTTAGCGGACTGAATTGTCAAGTACAATAAATAACACTGAAAAATGATAATTTAATGTAGGATGTCATGGTTGGTCTTGGCTCTATTTCTGAGATTTCTTTTTAGAATTTAAAAATAGAATTAAAGATCCAGTGTTTGACGTTGACTTTTTAAAAAAGTGACCCAAATTGTACATTGTGGGTGAAGGAGTTCATAAATTTGCTTGTTAGGGCAGCCTGATCTACTGAGTAGATGCAGTCGTTGTCAGCAGTGTGAAACATGTCTCCCTTCATCTCTTCTTGAATTGTTCAAGGAGTCAAGTGTGTGCTCTGGAGCTGATGGAAAAACTCTGGAGGTAAGAAGAGGGGAGTAAAGTGGTCTGCCTGGATGCTGAGTGTGGTCCTTCTTTTCTCTTAAAGCTGATGAGCGCAATTCAGAAAGGAAGAGTGTCTGGAAGCCGGCTTGCCATCCTGATGAAAACTGCCGAGGAGAACTTGAACCGCAGAGTTCCAATCCCTGTGGATCGTAGTTGTGGAGGATTGTGAGTCTGACCAGTAAATCCACAACCAGCAAGCATAGGACAGCCTGCACTATGTACAACCAGAGATGACTTAAACCACTCTAAAATAGTGGCTATTGTAGCTGCCTTTTTTTAAACAAACAAACAAACAAACAAACAAACAAGATCAAAGAAAAGGAATAAGCAAACAAACAATCAAACAAAAAACACTGGAAAAACATTCCAAAACCTGTAAGAGGTTGGTGTGTTTGCCAACTTCTCTTGCCAATACTTTATTTGTGTTTGCCAATCAGTTTAGCTTCTACAAAGTGCTTTTCTTATTTTTTTAGAGCACATTGATTTAATGTTTTGTATCCGTTTTGTAACCTGTCAGAATTGACACTCTGCCCGTCCATTCATTCATTTAAACTAGTTCTAGAGGCAGACTCCCTATAGATGGGAAAGATGGTAGAAAGATTTGTGAGCACCCAAGAGTTCAGGAGCTAGAGCCTGTAGATAGCATTTTTTTTCTCTTTTTAGAAAATCATTTGACCTCTCGGCATGAAAATGTTTTGGGAGACTTCTCAGCCCTGTCTTGCTACCCACCCCCTTCCAATTAATACCGAACACTTCTCTGTCTGGACTAACTCTGGCTAATCTGGAGAGGGAAGACAAAGTTTAGATCTGGTTGAGATTTGGTTACATTTCTAAAAGAGAAACTCCGAGAGCTTCCAGAATTGCAGGCGTAAGATAAAGACAGCGCTGACATTTGCCGGGAGGTACGGTGATAGCTGCTTCTCAGCAGTTCATTTTTTCCCCCCAGGCACTGCTGGCTTTCTTTGACTATTATAGTTGCCAGAAAAATCCTTGCTTTTTTTACTTTAAAACCAGCATTTGAGTGGCAAGTTGGATATAACAGGATGAGACCAAATCTTTCCATTCCTCATGGGAGTAATGATAGAACACAATTTTCAATCCCACAAGTCCTGAGCCTTGCAGCGTGTGGTATTGTCAGGGCCTGTTCTTGTCGGGGTGGGCAGTAGTGGTGGTATTTGCAAAGAGATAATAAAAAAGAATTGGGCAGATTTCCGTTAACTTTAATTATGAAATTAAAATAAGGCATGCCACTTTAATATTGGAGGCCGGTCTGTTTGACAAAGGGCCTTTCTCTTTGTGTACTCAATGGAAAAAATTCTCTTTCTAACAAAAAATAAAATAAAATAAAAATCAGAGAAAGACATCAGGCATATACATATATATATACACAGAAATCAAACCGAAAAGTCAGCGCCCACTGAACTCAGCAAATAGTGCACAAACAGAGATGACAGATAGAAGATGGTTTTGTTAAATTCTGTTGGCATTGTAACTAGTAATCTTAATACTTATTAATTGGCTTCCCTTTTCTGAAACTACCAACAATTAGCCTCCTGTGCACAGTAGGAAAGGTACCTCTTCATTCACACTTGTCTCCTGACAGGCTTTGTTGCGCAGATTATGTCCTAGCTTTGTGAACTGGTACATAAAACACCTTTGTGCTACTATTCTGCTTATGCAAACATTGTGTCTTTCTGCCTCATTCATTATGGGTTATGAGTCCACATATCATAATGTTAAACTGGGAGGTTCTCAGCCCCCACCTCACCCACCCCCACCCCACCCCACCCCTGAAATATGCAGAGACCGTAGGGAGAGACAGCTCAACTCATTAATAAATGAAGTATAGATGCTTCCACTTCTGTGTCAGGGAAACCTGACACAAGACAAGTGATGTCACAGCAGATGTCACTGTGAATTCTTTTCTTTCAAAGTGTCATTTTTTTACAATGATTCTTTTTTTTTTTAAATAAATGAAAGCATGTGCAGTTTAGTGGTTTTTTTCTATCGTGACAATAAAGTTCTCTTTATACCTCGTGACAGTCAAGTCAGCAGAAAAGCTATCCTTTAAGACATCCCAGCTGATATATCACAATATTCTACATCACTACTCCCTTCCTTTCTCTTTTTCTCTCTCTTTCTAGTTAGATCAAGATAACGGTGGCTTGTGTCATCTGAGATTCTCTTACAGTAGGGACTGGGCTCAGAATGTGACTTGCTTAGGCCGATCTGTGCTTGGAGAGCAGGTCTTGTTTGTATATGCTGTGTGCTATGAATGAAGTTCCTTAAGGACAAAGGGAAGTGCACCATGCTTCATTTGAGCATATCTGCCTTGGCTTAAAATCTGCTCGTTCTAAAATGTGCTCCTTCACCCATCCCAGAGACTCACATTGGACACGAACTACTTTTATCACGTTCCTGTGAGAATAGCACCCCAGCATTTCTCTAGAGTTCCCAATTAAACCTGTACAGGCTTTTACATTTTAAATCCAATTTAAGCAAAGGAGAAAGGACATAGGGGAAGAAGCCCCTTTAAAACTCATTCAGAGAATAAACCATTGTTTGTCTTTTTCATATAAAGCCGGTTTTTGTTGATTTTGTTTGGGTGTGGGAGTGGGTGCACAGAGATCTCTCCTTTTTATCTTCAAGTGATTTATTTCCTTTGACGGGATTCAGGTGAAGGAACCCCATCTGTGCTGGAGAGCTGCATATACCTTTAACTAGCCTCCATCCCAGTTGTAATAACAGTGATAACGCTGGGTTACTGGTTTAGCTACGGTTGTCTGCCTCATAGTCATCATGCTGCTTATTCCTGCTTTCCAGTCTGTTCATACTCAGTGTGACATCAGGTCTCTGCTCTCAAATGCATGGTTCGTAATCTGCCTTAGGTTATGCCTTGATTTTGTCTATTTTAAAATATGTACAGCAAAAATGTTCATTCTGATTTTAACTCAGTACAACATAGAGGCTGTCATTGATTTTTTTTCTTGTTCCCCCTTTTTTATTTGTAAAGGTCTTTTTGCATATGAATGTAATCACATTGGTGTCACTGATGCTGTAAAATTGCATTGCATTTTACTCTAGTGAGTAAAAAAAGAGCCCTACTGTGTTTTACAAGAACATCAGCTCTTAGCCCAGTCCTGGAGTGGACACACTTGCTGCATGTCCTCTTACTTTCTCAGTTTTATGTATTGTGTTGGGTTATCGTTCTACACTGGACTGTTAAATGCCGTCTGTGAGGCTGGACTGTCACTTTTATAACTGTCTTCATATTTTATCGCCATTATTTATTACTTTTGATATACAGAATGAGCCGCATGCATTTATAGAGCAATAAGAAGATGTATTTAATGTGCCTTGTTTTTAACTGAGTAAGAGCTGAAAGCATGAATCAATAAAACTGATTAAAGCGGCCCATTTGTTGGCATTTTGATGTTACGCGCCGTCCGACAAATAACTTTAATTACTGCTGAAGTTTTTAGAAGTTTGAAAATATTTGCAGAAACTATATGTTAAATGACATGCATTAATTCTTTTACACTAGAATTTTATAAGTTTATCTCAAGGGAATCATCTGTATTGACATGTTATTTTATGAGGCTACCAAAATTATTTGTATTAGTTGGTTGCTTCAGCGTTTAGGCTATGGTTTCTGTTTTATGTGACCACAGTCTACGTTTATCCCATTACAACTCAATAGAACTCTGTTCCTTTTTCTTTTCTTTTTTTTTTTTTCCAACTAGAACCTCTCAGCCTCCACATTCCCAGGCATGCTGATGAATTTTATCATAACCGAAATCAATAGAAATGAATGGGAAAGATTACATAATCCATTTTGATCATCTTACATGTCAAGTTAGTGCAGGGTTGCCAAGCGTTGATAAATGCTCTGACAGAAAAAAAAATGCTATATATTTTCATTGTCAGTAAATCAGTAAAGCTGTTATCAGTTTAACACTGGCCAAATTTTATAATGCCCATGTTATTTTATAGGTTTTAATTTGCACATGTTCAGAGAGAGCTTCCTCTATTTGCGGCTCACACGTGCTCAGAGGCATTTGTGAGTGTCTCAGAGTCCTTCGAAACTATATCCCAAATGAAGGCTCCTTCCCAGACAGACTTGGAACAATAAGCTCACTTGGAATAGCCTACTTGGAATAGTGACATTGTGGTTACTTGACCTAGGAGGGTTTGTGTGGTGCCTCCTTTAGGAAGACACCATGTTGTACTTCACTGGAAGCGTAGAAGGACTGAAATGCACAGAGTGTGCCTTGGTTGTTAGAGTGTGGCATGTGGTACAGCTTGTTTGTTCTATAAGCTTCTGAGCCTTGCAGACCCAGTGCAAGGCATTCCTGTACTTTTCTTCCAAGTAAATGGTTCCTGTATGGAAATTTGCTGTTCTTTATGGCTGCTGCTAGCTTCCTTTCACTGTTTCAGAGTGGGGAAGTGGGAAATTATGCACACACACACACACACACAAACCTCCCTGCCTTAAGCAATACACACACACACACACACACACACACAC